GAGCTGAAGAGCTGAGGGACAGCGCCCAGGCCCAGAGTTCAGGCCCCACGACCGGACCCAAAAAAAAAAAAAAAGAGTCTCACGGACTTTCTTGCCCAGGCCGGCTTGAACCTCAATCCTCAGATCTCAGCCTTCTGAGTAGCTAGGATTACAGGCATGAGCTACCGGCACCCGGCTATAATAAATAGTTTTAAAGTAGCAAATATACAGTGTTGTATCACAAAGCATTATTATTATTGATGTTGTTGCTGTTGTTGTTATTGCCGGTTCTAAGGCTTGACCTTAAGGGCTTTGCACTTTCTCAGCTTGCTTACTTATGACTGACATTCTACCACTTGAGCCACATCTCCAGCCTGGCTTTTTACTAGTTAATTAGAGAGATTAGTCTCGGGCTTTTCTTCCAGGCATGGCACATCTCAGCCTCCTGTCTAGCCCGGGTTACAGGAATGAGCTTCTGGCACTTTGCTTGCAGAACATTTTATATCTTCTTAAAAACTTGATTCTTGCCCTTAATTGAAACAGTAATATGACCATATTAGGCAATATATTTTGATTCTTGGACATGGTTTTGGAAAACTGTTCCTGAAATGTAGAGATTTTGCAGTTGTTGGCGATGCTGCCTAAGATTCTAATCATCCCAGCTCTGAACTGGTCTGTCCTGAATTGACACCTCTTCTTTTTGCTCTGCAGGACTCCATTGCACTTATCCATTTTGGCCAGGAATGAATACGTGTTCAATCAGCTGCTGCAGTGTAAACAGTACGTAGGGCGACATGGAGTAATGGAAAAGCCGTTGTGAGGGTGGGATTGTGAGTGAAAAATTATTTTAAAGTGTCTTCTAGTGTTACAAATCTTAATAAGTAAAAATGGAATAAAAATGTGTTATTCACAAAGTAGAGAGTGTATGAGGCTATTAGCAGGACAGTGTCTGAAGATTCTATTTGTGGTTTACATTGCTTTCTCATTTCAGGCTAGATTTAGACCTAAAAGACCATGAGGGCAGCACAGCTCTGTGGCTTGCAGTGCAGTACATCACTGTGTCTTCAGACCAGTCCGTAAATCCTTTTGAAGATGTCCCCGTGGTTAATGGGACTTCATTTGATGAAAACAGCTTTGCAGCCAGACTCATTCAGCGTGGCAGCAACACAGATGCGCCTGATGCAATGACAGGTGAAGTGCAGTAGGATCCTGAGAGATCGTGCTGAAGCACAGATGATGGGAATGTCCTGGAAATGAGCATTTTCTCTTTTCTGGTTTTTAGTAGCAGGTTGTTTTAGGGAGGGGTTTCGAGATAGGAGCTCGTTGTATAGTTTAAGACTGGCCCCAAACACACAATCCTTCTGCCTCAGCCTCCTTAGTGTTGGGATCATAGCATGTGCTCCTACACCTGGAGTGTAAATAGTATCAGCAAAAATAGAAACCAAATGACTTACTGTTAGAATTAATTTGTTCCGATTCTTTTTTTTTAATTTAATTTTATTTTGTTTGTGAACATACTGTACAGAGAGGTTACAATTACATGGGCAGGATAATGCGTACATTTCTTACCAAGCATTGCAGCCTCCTCCTTTGGTTTACCCTTCACATCCCTTGCCAGCCTCCCCCCTCCCCCCAATCCCAACCCCTCTCCTTCCCCCCCTTCCCCCCCCCCCGACCGACGTTGTAAAGCTCGTTTTGGACAGGTCCACCTGTATCCTAAAACAACTGTTTTTTCCCCCTCTCCTCCACAAGTTATACTGACATCAAATATAGTGAAAGCAGGGGTTATACTGTGGGGGAGGGACATACAAAGCAACGAAGAGATAATCTTATAAATGCGTTAGAAACACATGCATGAAAGAAAAAACATTAAAATACATATCTAAGGGTTCATTTTCCTGACATCACATTATCTGACCTTTTCCGCTTGACTCATACATATACTAGATATTGCAAATAAGGGAAACCATGGGACCTATGTTTCTTTGGGCCTGGCTTACTTCACTTAATATAATTTTTTCCAAGTTTTTCCTTTTTTTTGTCATGGGGCTTGAACTCTGGGCCTGGGCACTGTCCCTCAGCTCTTCAGCTCAAGGCCAATGCTCTACCGCTTGAGCCACAGCACCACCTCTGGTTTTTTGGTGGTTCATTGGAGATAAGTGTCTCATGAACTTTCCTGCCCGGACTGGCTTTGAACCATGAGGCTCAGATCTCAGCCTCCTGAGTAGCTGGGATTACAGGCATGAGCCACCAGCGCCTGGCAAATTTTTCCAATTCTTTTTGTGTTGTATGCCAGTCCAGGGGCTTGAACTCAGAGTCTGGGTGCTGTCACTGAGCTTTTGTGCTCAAAGCTGGCATTCTATCACTTGAGTTATACCTCTGCTTTTGGCTTTTTGGTGTCTTTGAAGTTAAGAGTCTCAGGGACTTTCCTGCTCAGGCTGGCTTAGAATCTTAGTCCTCAGATTTTAGCCTCCTGAGTAACTAGGATTATAGGCATGAGCCACCAGTACTTGACAGTGTACCTAATTTTAAATACTATAAGAGTCTAAGTTGCAAAAAATTTTAAATTCTATGTATGAACAATATAGCCAGACATCAAGTTATTTTTTTTTTTTTTTGGACAATTGTGGGGCTTGAACTCAGGGCCCAGGCTGAGTGTCTTTTGCTATCACTCTATCATTTGAGCCATAGCACCATTTCTGGCTTTTCTGCTTATGTGGTAATGGGGAGCCAAACCCGGGGCTTTATGCATGCAAGGCAAGCACTCTACCACTAAACCACATTCTCAGCCAAGTTAAATCTTTTAAGCTGAATCTTTTCTGTTTATTTAGTGCAGTGATTCTTCAACTTTTAGACTCATAACTCCTTTTATTACCCAGTGGCTCTTTTGTTTGTTGGTTTTAAATAGAGTCTCCTTATGTCCTCAAACTTGGATCCTCCTGCCTCAGACTCCTGAGTGCTGGAGTTAGTCATGAAGAACTATATCTCAAAAATTTTGGTTTAGTGAGTTTTACCTTCAATATGGACAATAGTTCAATATTAAACGGATTTTTTTCTCTAGTCATGGGGCTTGAACGTAGGGCCTGTACACTGTCCCTGAACTTTGCTCAAGGCTTGTGTTCTATACTTTGAGCAACAGCTGCACTTCCAGTTACCGGTGGGTAATTGGAGTTAAGAGTCTCGTGGACTTTTCCTGCGTAGGCTGTCTTTGAACCTCAATCCTCAGATCTCAGCCTCCTGAGTAGCTAGGATTATAGGCATGAACCACCAGTACCTGCTCAAAACTGAGGATTTAAAAAGAGAAATATTGGTTACTTCTAATAAACCATTATGTGGAAATATACATATTCACTGTAAAAATAACTCATTATCTTTAAGTAGTTGTACAAAGGGCTTCAATTCAACATAAGTACAATACAGTGTCACCCTTCATAAAAATAACTTTCCAAACAAAATTTAAGATAGATTCTTTGGGCTAAATTATATGTGGAAATACATACTCATGCAACTGTAGGAAGGGGATTTTTTCTTTCTTTTTTTTTTTTTTTTGCCAGTCCTAGGGCTTGAACTCAGGGCCTGGGTGCTGTCCCTGAGCTTCTTTTGCTCCAGGCTAGTGTTTTACCACTTAAACTATGGTGCCACTTCTGGCCTTTTCTGTATGTGGTACAAAGGAATCGAACCCAGGGTTTCACACATGCGAGGCAAGCACTCTACTACAAAGTTATATTCCCAGCCCCAAGGAATATATCTTTATTTTTTTTATTTTTATTTTTGCCAGTCTAGCGGTTTGAACTCAGGGCCTGTACACTGTCCCTGAGCTTCTTTTGCCCAAGGCTAACACTCTATCACTTGAGCCACAGCACCACTTCCAGCTTTTTCTGTTTATGTGGTACTGGGGAATCAAACCCAGGGCTTTATGCATGCTAGGCAAGCACAGTACCACTGAGCCACATTCCCCAGCCCCTACATCTTTTATATATTATAATTCACAGCCTGTTTGTGAACTGAATGGATTTTTTTCTTTGTGCACGTTTTTATAACATCATGCCTTAAGTAATTTGGAAAATGTTGGTTCCTTGAGTTATACACATCTTCCAGATGTTCATATGTCTTAGAGTTGGTTTATTAATCTTAGCAGTGATATAATCAGAAGTCTTTCAGTGTCAAGAAAATAAAATCATCAAATTTAAGTTGCAGAGAAAAATTTTCCAAAAGTTTGACTTTTGCTTAAAACCTTAGATTTAATTGTTGGGTACAATTGTTTCTGTTAGTTGTTGCCTTAAAGAGACAGCCTCCCTTTCTTCCTTTGCAAGAAAACTTTTACCTATTACTTGTATTTGAGTAACAGTAGTATACTCATTAGACATTCTTTGAGAGAAAAAGCTGCTTCTTGAGAAAAGCTTGCCTTCACAGCCAGGCGTGCTCTTCCTTCAGATATCACTGTCCTTTGCTGTGTGGCAAGAGGACCTTTATGCACACTTGTTGTGTCAGTTTTTCACACAGGTACTCAATGTGGAAATTTCATAAAATTAGTAATTTCCTTCTGATTTCTCAAGGACCATTTTAAGTGAAACTGGCCCTTTGTTATTACTTCATCTCCTTTCACACTTTGATGATGTGGCACTCCAGTTGAAGCTGATTGTGCCAGAAGTATAAATGCCATCCCAGGTAGCGGAGGTATGAAAGTGGTTCTGACCTCATGGAACCCCTCAGAGACTCTGGATCTCCCAACAATCCATACCACACTTAGAGAAGCCCTGTTTCAGTATATTTCATTGATTTGCCTCAATAAAACAAGGGGATAGATATTTAATGGAGAGGGATTCCATATATGTCAGTATTGAGTACTGTTGTGTGAAAGTATAGTTAGGAGCCACTAATAAAGAGAATTGCCCTCAGTCACTCACAAAAGCCCCCTTGTTAACATTATAACTAATTTTAAATAAAAGTCAAAGGACAGGAGCTGTACTTCTATGGTAGAGCACTCATTTAACACATGTGAGGCTCTAAGTTTGAGTAGCACAAAAAAGGAAAACAAAATACAAAAAAACAAAGGTCAAATAAAAGCAGGGATGTTGGCTCACACCAGTAATCCTGTCTATTCAAGAGGCTGAGATCTGAGGATCAGAGGTTGAAGCCAGCCCTAGTAGACATACCTGAGAGATTCTTATCTCAACCAGCAAAAGTCTAGAAGCTCAAATGGTAGAGAGCCAGACATGAGTGGAAAAGCTAATCAAGAGTGTGATGCCTGTGTGATACCCTGAGTTGAAGCCCTATATATACATACATGCACAATATTTTTTGGTCATACTAAGTTTTGAACTCAGCTCCTTGTACTTGGCCAGGCAAGTACTATACTACTTGACCATATCTCTAGCACTTTTTTTTTTTTTTTTAGGTATTTCTTAGATAGGGTATCACATTTTTGCCTGGAGCCAGCCTCAGACTGTGATTTGTCTACCTATGCCTTCTGCATAGCTGAGATTGTAGGCATATACCCAACCCTTTGTTTGTTGGTAGATACAGTGTCACACTAAAATTTTGTCTGGGCTGGCCTTGAATCTTGGTCCTCAGATATTTGCCTCCTGAGTAGGAAGAATTAAACAACTATGCCTGGTCTGGAACAGGATTTTTAAAGATCAAGAAACTGTTCTAGGGTTAAAAGTATTTGAAAGAAAATAACGATTTTTTTTCTAAGATTTTTTTTAGGTCCTAATTTTATTTTATTTTATTTTTTTTTTAATTTAATTTTATTTTATTTGTGAACATACTGTACAGAGGGGTTACAATTGCATGGGCAGGATAATGCATACATTTCTTACCAAGCATTGCATCCTCCTCCTTTGTTTACCCTTCCCATCCCTTCCCAGCCTCCCCCCTCCCCCCCATCCCAATCTTTCTCCTTCCCCCCTCCCCC